AATATGCACAGATAGCTATGAAACTCAAGATGAAATTTGAGACATTTGTAACTCAGAATAGCAGCCCTTCAAAACATCCCTTCAGATAGAGACTGGTCAAGAAATGTGTCGCCAACTGTTGGTCACAAATTGTTAGCAAAGTTTTCGTGTTCTATTAAGGCCGCAGGTCCCCTTGATAACGATGATTAACTATCAGAATTCGTAACCGTGACAAAACAGAGAAAAACGCACAGACATTAAAAAGTGGCTCCACTGGAGACTATGAAAGTTCCTGGTGCGTTTGAAAGAGTCAGTGTGGATATCTTTGATCCGTTGCCGATCACAAATTCTAACAATCGATACGTACTTGGTTTTACTGATCATTGTACCTGTTGGCCTATTCTTGTTTCTTTACCATGTGTTTATGCTTCACCTATAGCCAGAGCATTTTCAATTTGGTGATATGTGTAGACGGTTGCCCGGTAACACTATTGAGTGACAAAGCACTGAGTAGTATTGTTCAAGAGATTTGTCTAGTTATGCAGACGAATAGAAGATAGAAGGTGAATACCTCAAGTTGTCATCCGTAGAGTAATGCTGTTCAAGAGCGTTTTTACCCTGTAATACTAGATATGGTGTCGCATTAGGTAAATGAATTGTTTGCTTATCGTTCAACACCAGTAGATAATTCAGTTGGGTTTAGTCCATTTTTCTTGCTTTACGCTAGAGAAGCACGGTTACCACTGGATTTTACACTTCTGTTACTATACACACTTGTGAAGAAAGGAGATTGGAAGTCTCTTTACTCATCACCCCATGAATTTATTAGCACACCGCCGATGCAGGTGAAAACTAGAGAAAAATACCTACTCACATTAAGTAATACGTTATTAAAATATAAATTAAATCCACAATGAAACAAATATCTAAACAAATTCAGGGGGAAAATGAACCAATCACGAACGAAGTAGGCAGCGTTTTCAGTCAACGAGTTTTGATTCCTGGGTAAAGTAGTTGATTAAATTAGGTACATATAGAAACTCCTAATATCATCGTTCCCGGGGTGAGAAGTGCGCAATAAAGTGATGAGACGAACGGATATATGCTGGGTTTTCTGGGCTTACAGAGTAATATAGAGGTACTGCAGAGATAACGAATGGCAAACAAACACATGCACATCAATGTTCCCTAATTTCTTATTACACTTCCTAAATTAATATTCTTATGAGCACTACAAAGGTCTGAAGCAAACATCGCTGTGAATCATCAAGATAACTATGACAAGTGAAATTGTATGGAATAGGGGCGTCACCCCTGAGGAATGCTAGACTATTTTGGCGTCAACTGGATCACTTCTGCATACTCAGAAACTCTTTTACAACCTAACCCAGAGAGATAAATTGCAGGCGAAATTAATCCTCCGAAATATAGCTTCTATTTACGAATCTAAGCACTAGAGGTATGGCTTCAGAAATGGGACGGAATGAGTTGGTCGAGAGCGAGGACGCAACGGAATCCAAAAACGCTCCACGCCCAACTACGTGGCAAACAGGCAACCAAAGACGTTCCGTAGCTGCATGCTGAAAATACCATTAGGTGTGATCACGCAAAGACTGACTGGATTTCATGGGGACTGTCATGTAAATTGTGACTCCAAATAAGAGAAATGTTCACTCAAGGGAAAATACCACTATTATTTTAACAAAGCGGTGACGATAACAGCTTGTATCCAACTTTAATCATTAGGAGAAGTCGTTAAGGGGCATTGTACATGTCTCGAGCTTACAGGTATTTCGGGAAATTTCAAAGCATCACGCTGAAGGCAACCAAGTAAAAATATACAGACTGTATGATGCATCTGCCACAGGGGCAGACTATCAGATTAGTGATCTGGTGTGGATTTACATTTCAAACTCCCATAACGGCTTGTCAAAGAAATTAAATCATGGTCAAGACCAAGTACTGTTAATTTTCGAGTGAAAAACTGGGAGAATAGCTAACTGCCTACTTCAACAGTACATGTAAATCGAATGAGGTTTGGTTGTGACAGATTTGTATCCAAATAAAAACATTGTGCGCACTGATCCTGGGTAACATTCCCCAGCAGAAGATTTGGTACAGGAGGGCTGCCCTGAGGATTCGTTGTTGTGAAACATATATACGTCCCCGTTTTTTCGACTAGGTGGAATTGCCTATTCATTTGTCAATTGGATTACGTAATAATGTCTTTATATTCCGGCCAAGTTGCTCTGCTCAGCGTAGTTGGTCCGAGGGAAACGTTGACAACGCTCACCCAGTTGATTTACTTCTGTGTTTAGGGCCTATGTTCTTCAAATTGCGAGTTTAAAATTTATTTAGACCCGAGTACAGTTTTCGTCTCTTTGGCGTTGCTGTGTCATGATCCCAGAACCTTGATATGAACGACACAACAGTAAATAAGTACATAACAGTTGAATAAATAGTGATGAGTGGTGATTTAAAAATTCACTTCGCATTCACTTTGTAGGCCTATACGTATGCAAATCCCAAGGTGTTAAGATGGCTACCTGGATAATACCTATCGTCTGGCTTCTTCAAGGGGGATCACGCTTTGGTGGAATTGTATTGCTTCAAGTTAACCCCCCCCCACTAATGTCATTGGTTCTAAGTCTGGTCTAAAAGGTGAACCATGCAAAACCCATACAGTCGTAGCTTATAGACGCTAGCGATTACTAGACGTCTGGATGACCACGGAGCTTAGACGCTAACCATTACAGATGTCTGGATGACTATGGAGGAAGTAATCAGGTATTTTTGGAATGTTTACTCTTGTTTGTCTAACCGGGCGGCGATGATCATCGAGCACTTTGATGTGCCAGAGTTGTAACTCCTTCAGTGTCCTTCCTCCATGAATGACTGTGGAGAAGGACACGTACTGAAGGAGATTTCTTGAGCACAGATTTCTGAGCGCCGTATTCCAACGTTCATAGTAAGCCTCTGGGAAAATGTTCCATTAAAATGATGGATTCTTCCAAAGACAGTCTTTTATTATGAGACAGTAGTCGTCAGCTTGTCAAATTGCAAAAATATCCTATTGCTGATTACCTGTATTCTTCATTGCTATTCGCCAATTTGTCAGAATGCGAAATTTGCTTAACGGGTCTGTGAGAAGGGTATGTGTTATTAGTTATAACTGGAAATTCTACTTTTTTAAGCGATGTCCAGAATGTAAAACTTGCTGTTTTGATAAATGGGAGAAAGCAATTAAAACGTTTTTGGAAAAACGGCCCCACCCCCAAAAGGTATCTCATTAACATAGAAAATGTGCATATCTGTGACGTATTATTCGGAAAGACATCGTCGCAGGGCGCTAGCGCGTGAATGTTTGTCTTGGGTGAGTTCGGAAAATTCAGGCCATTTTGGGTGTTTTAAAATTCATGCCAACCAGATGTGTTGACCTAGGCTACGACTATTACAGCTATAAAGATGGGGCAAGCCTGAATTACTTTCCGATCGAAGCGAAATTTAGACGAGTTGGGATATTGAAAGTCAGGTTGACCAGAGCCAAATGGTCAGGACCGACAGCCAGCTCCAAACTGTGCGGTGCGAATTTCTACACACAGTGTTTTCTTCCGAAAATTTACCACCAGATTCTGATCAAAGTTAAACGACTTCTGAATGCTTTCTTTGATTTCCCAAAAGGCGCCAAAAATCGATCTTTGGGAAATCAAACAAAGCCCTTGAACAAAGACGAAAATAAGCTTTCATGAAACGCGGTCACGTAGGCCTATGTTTCACCCCCATTCGCGGAATACAAATTGACAACTTCGACCGTGCACGGCGGTTACTTGACCAGACCCTCGTGAACCATTACGGAATTGTCCTTAGCAACTTGGCAGTCCTAAGTTGAGCCTTCCATTTTTGAATACTTGAAGACTAATAAGGATTTCATTGCCCAATATGCCATCCTTGAATAATTTATTTTGCAATAATCTAACCTCAATCAATTAATTATGAAAGTACTCTTTGTAAATTATTTCTTATTGAACTGAGCCACATCTAGAGTCACAAACCGTGACGCACAACTGCGTATGAAATTTTGAAGGCATATACCCATTCAAGCAAAATAGGTCAACAATATCTAAGCTTAATCGCTTTGCATGTGAAATACAATAGGCCTAAAATAACAATATCCTGTAGTGTTGTTGAAATGACATTAATATACATTTTCAAACACATTAAACCTGCGTCTAAGATTGGGAACAGTGAGATAACAGAACAACCTAGCGACTAATTTACGTAATTAAATCTATATAATTTTTAAAAAATCTTCATCGACATCCTTTTTTGGTTCGTCAAATGCTGTCTTCTTGTACTCGTATGGTCATTTATAAGATCATGTCCATGCATCTTGCAGCCTGCGGTGGCAATTATTTGTAAATATTACTTCTACCCAAAAATGATTTGGCATGGTAAATTAAGAAACAGGAGTGCGCAGTTACACGTATTGCAAGATTTACAGACTGCGTGTAAAGGCCTAATCCACGCTACTTCTTAGTGACTTCGCACAGGCCTGGGGCGCTTGAATAAATGAACCTCGATTAATTACACCTTGACCAATTGAGCATGTTCCCTTTACGTATCAGTAACCTTGATAACTTCTTTTAACCAAACCAAACAACAACATCCTATACTAGGCTTCTATACACCTAGATACCACACTTCATAAAAAAACGGTTATGAAGACATGTCAACAGTCTAAACGAAGCTAAAGTCAGGACATATGGGCTGACTATATAATAAATTGTTCAGAAAATTCAAGAAACAAAAACAAAAAATCGAAAATCACTTTCAAACGTATCTTGGCAATCGACAGGCCTTTTCTACCGCTGATAAATGATAGCAAGTACTTTGAATTTAACTGTTTCAAGAATTTGTCTAAGCAGTGAATCCCTGTTGGTCACTATGTTAAATTCTTAGTGAGCTGTGCGCTGCCTTCAGCGATGTGTGGCATGCCGGGGTTCCCATTCTCAAAAGTAGAATTTGCCCCCCCCCAAAAAAAAACAAAGATCATCCTCTCACATCCCCCAGTATGGAATTATCTAAAAATCGTCAAAAGCTAGAGTCGATTCGTTGGTATGTCAGCTATGAAATAACATGTTTCTTACAAGAATCATCATCTTAGACAAATTTCTACGGTTTCTGGCTAGAACGTGCATCGTTAACTGTGCACGTGGTACTTCCGTACTCTACAGAGCAAGTAAAACTACGTAAGTACACCAAGTCTCGCTAACCTTTTGTCTTGAAGAACGATATTTCATCGTGAGTGATTGAAGTACGTGTACGTCTTTTACTTTTGACAGGTAAGCTACTACAATGAGGAATTTGCTGAACTCAGTCTGTAAGTATGTGGATACTAGTCGCCGGATTAGGCGCAGTTTCCTGGCCAACGTTCGCCTTTGAAGGCATCGTCATCAACGAATTCCAACTAGAGGGTTCTCAGTATGTGGAGCTCTACGACGGTGGAGTCGGCAACACACAACTGGAAGGTATGGTTTTGGTCCTTTACTCAGGGACTTCAGAGGTTGTGTACAACCAGCCTTTGGTGCTCGATGGCTTTCATACAAGCCGTGTGGGTTATTTCCTCGTATCATTTGGGCCTTCACTGCCGAATGCCAATGTCAAATCTTCAATTCTCCTGCTCACATCAGGTTTAAATGCAATAGCATTGTATGACCAGACACACGGCGCAATTCTTCACGCTGGATCAGCAGTAACTGATGTCGACTTGGTTGATGCAGTGGTTTACGGAAGCTCCCCATATCCTCAGGACAGCAGGCTTCTGAGTGTTCTCTCCCAAGGCCAAGGTCCTCTCCAGAAGGACGAATCGCACTCAAGTGACGGGAATACGTCTCTCAGTCGCTGCAGAGGTTGGAAGCAGGTCATGCATTCGTCGTTCCGTACCGTGAAACAGAGCCCGGGCACCGATAACGAGTGTCCTCTGCCGTCGTTCGTCATCAACGAGCTCAACCCGACCTTTGGTATTAACGGAGATCAGTTTGTCGAGATTTTTGACGGCGGGCGAGGATTTCAGGAAACGGATGGCATTATGTTGGTCACTTACCGGGGAAATTTTGCCAGGGATAACGTTGAAGTATCTGTTGACCTTACGGGTTACCGGACCAACGAGAACGGCTTCTTGGTTGTCGCCACCAATGGAACGAACCTTGCAGATGTTATCGCTCCTAATGTGCGTCCTAGAGCAGGTAAATTTCTGTCTGGATCTCAGCCAACGGGTGTGGCCTTGCATTTAGGCCCACCGCGCCGGTTTGCAGTCGGTAACGCTATCACGGATTACAATTTAATCGACGCTGTTGTGTATCTTTATCAAAGGGAGGTGGACCACGCACTGGTTCAGTGGCTAACTCCAGGGCAGCATGTCGTGGTGGATTTGCCCTCACCCGACGGTCAGGAGTACTCTATCAGTCGTTGTTACTGCTGTTCAGTGCGCAATTCGTCAGTCTTTGGCAGAGGGCCAATTAGTCCGGGTACTATCAATCGGGAGTGCAGCATAGCCAATCGAACTGTCGTCGAAGTACCGCCCAGTACCTTCTGGATTAACGAACTCCACATCGGCACTCCTGGCTCGGATGATGGCGATTTTGTCGAAATCTACGATGGGGGTTTCGGACCTTTTTCTATGGTTGGCAAAACACTGGTGGCGTTCATTGGAAGAAGGTAAGATTGAAAGAATGTAGGCAGACTATGGGACTCTTTCCTGTGCTAAGGTTCTGAAACTCTACTGACTGGTACACTCTTTTTTGAACTTTCAGAAAGCAAAAATGTACAATCTTAGGCTACTGGTTTTGAGACAGACAGCATTTTTTCATTTGATTTGATTTGATTCTATTTGAAATGGTTTGTTTTTAATCGGCAATGGCAGCCAAAACCTGTATTACCGCCACAGTACAAAAGGTTCATCAAAAATAATGACCTTGCCTGTAAAATAAAAATACGATAAACTTAAAAGGATTATCGGAGTTTTGTTTTGGTCTTTTTGGTATATGTGTGTGTGCAGGCGTGGCATACATAGTGTGGACCTCTACACAAAAGAAGTCCACATGATGTAGGGTATGATGGCGTTGTGTGTTTATTGTTTTTTGTTTGCTGGTTTAACTGCGACGAGGCACCTTGTCCAGTATAACGGCCAAAGCAGCACCTTGTGCCCAAATTGTTATTTATTTGTGGATAAAACAATCCCTTGTTCAATGTCTTTTTCAGTTCTCTTTAGCATAAATCAGACGGAAGCCTTCCTAGGAAGACTCTCAGTATGTTTTGTGTGGGAAGTGTCCTTTTGAGGGGCGTGGTCTGCCGTGAGGTGATCCCGTGGAGGCGCCGACGTCAATTGTTGACACTAATGGAGAACCATGTGCCCAAATTGTTTCAGATTCGTTAAACGATCCCTATTCAATTTTTTTTCTGTTTCTTTCAAAACAAATCAGACGGAGGCCTTCCTAGAAAGACTTCTCATGGTGTTGTGTGGGGGAAGTGTCCTTTTGAGGGCGTGGTCTGCAGTGGGGGCGCTGAATTCAACAATACGGAAATGCATCGGCGAAACCAAAAGTACTCGGGAAATTCCCGCTATACATGCTTGAATCACCGTGACTCACTCATCCAGGGCCTTTATAGCACAACAGCTGGGCCTAGACAGTGTAAATAATGCCACGTGGCCAGCCTCTCCAGATCGAGGCTTGGCCCTATCAATCACAAGGGCTTACCGTGGACTACAGGTCAACACACTGTCTGGTTACAGTGCTGGCGCCAACCACAGGCTTCCAGACACATTGGCAACATCCCAGACATTGGCCTGAGGCATTTTCCAAAGGGGGGAAGGATATTTTAGAGGGGAGTAGGTATTGCGTGCATTATCATAATATAGCAGTGTTTTGTGCGCAAACATATGGGAATGGATTTGGAACCCCCCATTTCAGTCGCTGCCAGGGCGATACCAAGATTGACACACCTCTCAATAGTTGGGTGGGGAAAAGTTAGGAAAAGTCACGGGAGTTCGATCAGGTCATGCGTGGCAGTTAGTAGAACAATCAAATCACGTGATTTCCGAGACATTTTGGGAACACGCTCCCACGTCGTAAGGGTCTTTACTGTTTTTTTGTTTGCTTTTTCGTCTTTATTTTACCCTGTGCGCAGCACCATTAAAAGGCCTATAGTAATCCTTCGAAGAACGGAGAACGAGTCCAAAGTCCACTTGGGAGCAAAAGAGTAGGGCATGGAGCATACGTATCAATGGTTGTGCATGTCAGGTGTGTACAAAATGGTGCGATCTTTGTGTCCCCTTCTGGATTTTGGATCGTATCCAAAATCCACCGCTGTTAGAAAACGAAGATATGAAACGAATGGTAATAGTCGGAACGTGGAAGTAATATTGGTTCATTATCTTACTGTGTGATATGTATGCACGCATTTCCATGCTGTGCGTCAACGCTTTCGCCTAAAGTTGGGTATCCGTCAAAATCGTTCCCAAGGCAAGTTTGACGGCCGAACGCAATGCACAAGTGTGTGATGTTAATTGTGAAGTCCATTTTTGCGTTCGTGAAAGTGAACCGCATAGCATGAACGCATCGTGCCCGTAACACACCCCAAAAGTATACATATGGAAAGGCGCCGTTAAGTGTGCCTGGTTTGAAATGCATGATTAACATGTAAGCTCGTGCTGGCTCTAAAACTTAAACACACTCCAGATTTTCCCAAATTACACAGTTTTTCTTATTTTCTCCATGTTATCGGCAGGCCTTACAGAATTGTAGACCTCTCGGAATCAGTGACAAACAGCGACGGCTTTGCTGTGATTGCGCCCCCTTCTGTCAGTCCTGCATCCTCGTTCGATTGGTTGGCCGATGATTGGCTCAGAGCTGGACTTGATGAGCAACAGGTGGCTGGTGCTGTGGCACTTTACGAGGTCAGTAGTCTCCATAATGAAAGTTATCCTGTAATAAGCAATTTTAGATTCATCTTTCCGAAAAACTTTCGATAACTCTTTACCAACTGATTGGCAGTTGTCCGCCCACATACTGTAGATTTTTTACCCCTGTGTTATAATGCCATCTGACACACCATGACGTTTGGTGTATTTGGTGTCTGAAACACTGTATTTACTAAGGATGTGACAATACCACCGGTTGGTTAACTGATTTCCCTTTAAACTCCATGTCAGGTTGCAGTGACCCAAATAAATTACACTGAAGCTTCTCTTTATTTACAATTAATTTTTATTGATAAAAGCACATTAACAAATAATTCCAAGTCCCTGATGCTGAAAGTTTAACAAACACTAAATATCTTTCTTCAGTATTTGAAAAATTAAAACGAAAATCACACTACAACCCACTAGCTGCCGGTGACTCTTTACTCTTGTGACACACTAGATTTGTCGGTGACACTTTACTTTCTTGTGACACACAAGAATAATACCACTTCAAATAAATTGGTACATAATTGTTTTACTCTAAAGGTACACTGAAAAGACACTTCTGTGACACTTTACTTTCTTGTGACGCTCTATAACTCCTCAGTTTTCCAAGTACAACCTCAACTTATTAATTGGTATGTTTTACACAGCACGTTTTACAAACAGATCAATTAAAACGATTAGCTTTCAAAAGTTCAACTGGGTTCGTGGGTCTCGTCTTGGCTGACTTGATGGTTCGCCACCCTGGCTGTGGTTCCCGGTCTAGCACTGTCCCGCAGGACTGCAATTGCTGAATCCGTTTGAGGTTCTAGGCCTGGGTCTTGAGGCTCACTGCCTGGCTCAGGTCCATCTGCTGGGTCCACACCAGTTTGTGTCGACAAGGCGTAGATCGAGATCCCACAATTCGAAAAGGAGTGTTCCCTTCCGGCTGAAATCCCAGGATTGATAGGTTTGCAGAGTGTTTCTCCAAAATTATGGTCACCAGCTCACCAGCAGGGTTTGGGACCTAAAAGCCCCAGCAAGTCGGCAATGCTGCAGTTTGCTACACGGTTGATAGCTCGCTAAAGCTTGCTCTCCACACAAAAGTGGGAAGATACCAGAGTCTGAATACTCTGAGTCGCTTCTAGATGTAGCCACACACAAGTCAGTGTGTCCGGTGAGCTGAAGATGGAGGAGTGACACCCACACAGTACCTATACACTGCGTATAATACACACAAGCACACACACGAACACACCCCACTGGTCAAGCAGTAAAGAACCCCATCCCATCAAAGAATGTCTACTCCTATCCTGAAGAATTCTCCTTTTGAATATTCGGAAAAGAACTGTTTGCATAAGCTACTGTCACAGTAAGGTGTACAAGGAATGACTCAATAAAAAAAGGATAAAATCAGAGTAAATAACGGAACTTCCTGTTACACTCCAAACATCCAATCCACTGCCTCTTACTAGGTTGGTAACCATTGTAGACCTTCAGAAGTTGGCTAAACCCCCCAGTTGTCGGTATTTTTGAACATCAACAGAACAACAACGGTTGATGTAGGCCTACTAATTTTCTTTTCTCCTTCAGCGACCTGCAGCCGCTTTTGATACTGAGGAGGGACTCACTACAGTCGGTATGCTGGATGTAGTGGTCTTTGGCAACTCCACAATGGCCTCAAACCTATTGGAGATTCTTTCACCGGGTCAAACCTTGATACACAGCTTCTTACCAGAATCAAGTAGGTTTCAAGGTGGTCTAACTCAAAGAGAGCTGAGGGCAGAATCGGCCCCTCCCCGACATTTTGTCCAATATTGCCACAGTGCTCTTTTCCAGCGCGGAACTTTTCTCGCGCAGCGATCGTGTTTCCCAAGCAGATTAGCTAACCACGTACATTTCTCTACGCTCAAGGCCCCCGGGATGGCACGTAGCATCGACGTTCAAATAACCACAACAGCAAAACATACTTTATTTTGGATTGAGTTAAGACGTCAAAGTTCTGCTTATGAGGATAACTCTACATATTTGCACAATTTTTAAAAATGGGCAGGGAACAGTGGCGTTCGTAGGGGGACGGAATCCGACCCAGGCCGTGAGATGGTCAAAAGGAACCCGGGTCTCAAAGATCGGTTTAACGCGAGAGCGTGGGCGTAAATCCCGCGCAATGGGGTCTATATCCCCCCCCCCATTTTGTGAGGTGGGGGATGGGCTTTTGAATCATTCCCCACCTCCCCACACACACACCCATACACTTCTTGTGATGAGCAGATTGTGAAGAAAGTTCAGGATTTCCAAACGACTAACATGTTTGCAATTTCACAAAAAAAGGAAAACTTTTAAACTAAGCCCTTCTGATGTGAGATTCTGAATGAACTTGATACACGTACATCTTTATCTTGAACATTGCCCGTACACGGTGTTCCGTCCCCCCCCCCCCCCGTTTTTCAAATGTCCATAGCCGGGCAAGTCATCCCCCACTTTTCCCCATCCCCCCCTTTCCAGCAAAGATTTACGTAACTGAATGTGAGCTCTCAGAGCTTTGGGTGTCACGAAAACTCTCTTTTTAATCTCGAAGAAAAATACATACCTTCTACCAAACTCATTATATTCTATTCATAGCTTGATCTGCAACAGGCCTCCGTAGCTATTTTCGAACTACCCCCCCCCAGAAAATGAGCGTTAGAATAAACTCGAATTAGGTAACAAAATACTTTTAGAACACAAAACTGCAATTGATGTGTCAATGTTAAGTGAAACACAAACGGTGCATATTCAAGAATTGTAGCAAAATGCATTGCCTGGAACAGTTATGCATAACATTGTACGCTGTTTGTCTGCTGTTAGCTAAAACGACGTCACTCCAACTCAGATTTACTCATTGCACTGTCATGTAAAAGCTTTCTTGCCAATATTCACATTACTGAATAAATGCATTTTTTCCCGCCAATGAAACAGCTTCATCTGCACTGAGATGTTACTCCCATACTCCACTTGACCAGGTTGCATTCGCCCCAGGTCCACCGTCGCCTTTAGCTCCGAACTCTTGCCCCCCTCCGCCGTGTCTTTTGAACGAGATCAACTCGCTCCGCTCGTCAGCTACGGGTATCTGGATGGAAGTTTCCTGTGTGGGACTTCCAAATTTCCCCACGGACACCTTTGCTATAGTAGGCATACTTTTAGATTATTTATATGTCACTGAGACAATAAAGATCCATGTGAGCTTTGGGCTAATATCTGAAGAAAAAAGTGGGAGGTGGATTCAGATACAGAAAAGGAACAATATTGATTTAGGTGGTAAGAAACGGCTTTATTCAGGACCCACAGTTCTTTTCGAAGAATTGAGCGAAATTAAAGGCCCTTTAACTTTGCTCTCCATAAGAGATCTGCCCCTTCTCGGTACAAATTTTCAAACTTTGATTGTTAACACCGACTGAAGGGTTTCATTTGTTAATAAGGTATCACTAGTACGTGTATGGTGGGTGTCACGATACTTTGTCGAGTATCTCCATTCTCACAGGATATTCCCTGTAGCATAAAAAATCAGCAGGCCTGTGATGTATGAGGAGTGATTATAATGTCTTTTACTTAGGTATGGTGGGAAGCTGGACTTGAGGTGGGTGTCACGAAGTCGTTTGGCGGTTCTCGTACCAACAAAGACGGTTTTACCTCCTGTAACGTGAACTTTTTGACCAAATCCGGAACAAACCGTCATTTTGCATTGTGCCTGTACTTTCTCCTGGGCGCCACCGACTTGTTCAACGAGGCTGGCGCCGTCAGGTTAACCAGCAGTGGATTGCTTGGTGCCATCGTGGTTAATCTGGAAGGCGGAATGGGAGACCCATCCGCCTTAACAAGCATCCTAACCCCGGGGAGAGAGCCCGTTCAGGAGCAGGAAGCCTTCAGCCATAGAGACGAATCCCTCAGTGGCTGTCTGGTGGAGGGCAACTGGACCTTCGTTCTGGCCCACGTCTCTAGGGACGCGGCCAACCACTGCCCCACCAGAGCTAATCCAGACCTTGTCATTAACGAGATTAAGCTTATCAGATCAGTTCATCGAGCTCTTCGATCTAGGTGGCGGATATTCCATTTTGGGTAAGAACACGGTATCCTAACGCCTTAATAGATTAATGAGATCTTTCAAGTATCAGAAGATTGTTCAAGTTTAGTATATGTTGATTTCTTCCAGGTGTATTCCTAAGAGACATATAAAAGACTCATGCACTTGGAGACGTTAAATGACCATGACGTGCTATTATTCTGCAACATCACCGTGAATGAGCATTTTTACTGAGTTTGCAGTGAATTTGTAGGCGCTTTAATAGAGAACAGTTTAAAACAATTACCGGGCTTCCTCCAATTATTTAATTTGCAAGTTTGCCGAAAAGTTGAAGATAATTGCTTCTTTATATAATAAAAGTATGGGCGTCCTGTTTCACAGAACCCTGTTTTATGTTATCCATTTATTAGCAAATCTTTTCTCCCCTTTCAATTTTGTATTTCTGTTTGCAGATGAGTTCATGGTGGTTTTGTGCAGTGCCACAGGGGTGGCACTGCAGGTCATTCGATTGGCTGGATACACCACCGATGCCAATGGGTACTTCATTCTGGGGGCATCAGACACTCTCAACCCCGACAGTAGTCACTACATACTTGCTGCAGGTAAGCATGCTGTCATTAGTTTGCCGTGCCTCTTTGCAGTCTCGCATAGGCCTGTTTTATGATATACTGGATACAATTGCTTCATTATGTAAAATAATATGAACCATAAAACCTTAATCAGGCCCTCAGTTTAGGGGTTCGACTGCACTTTTATTATTTGCCAGAGTACTTAGGCAATATTTGCTCATAACAAGGCAATCTTTAGATGTCGAGTCTTGGTGTTATTCCTTTTTCCAGCACTGGCAATACATGGTCATTGCTATAACGAGGGAACTTAAAAAAAACTTCTTACCACCTTTTCATTAAGGTGTTACAATTTATCAGAAGCAGACTGACATATTTGTGACGTTAGAACGCAAACAAACAGCAGACAGTCCTAAATCCTCCAATTTAGATATGGTTTTTCACACACCCTACTCGTTTTGCGTGCATGTGCGAATCCGATTCAAATGTGCTTCTTATTCTGAAAAGTCCTCTGCCAGTTTCACAGCAAAGTATCGGGAAGTGGCAGACTTGTGTGTTCAGCTGCTACGCCGTTCATGTTGCCATTTATTAAGGAACGTACCAATACTTTTGACGTTGGTGCCTTCTTTGGGGTGGTCTAAGGAAAATTGTTTCATTTCCACGCATAGGCCTATTGTCATTTTTGCCATCTTTTTGTTAGGGTTCAATCTGATCATCATTCATCTCTTCTCAATGCTTAGTACTTGAAACAAAACACATGCATGTTTTGAGACTTGGCCTTATTTCTAGCTTTATCTTTTCATTTTGATTCGAGCTTCACATTGAGAATTTTGGCCGAGCTTTGGGTGCAGGAGACAGCTATTTACATTTACGTGAACATTTAATTTGCGTAAACATGATGTAAAAGACTGCCCACCTCAAAACCATTCTGTCTGATGATTTTAGCAGCTAAGTGTCAAAAATATTTATTCCGGTTTTCTGTGTCGTTACTGAAAAGGCTAGCCTCGTATCAAGTATGCGATTAAGTTGAAAAAAGTATCCATGTAATTCTGGAAAAGAACTGGCTTTTTAATACTTGTTGAAAACTTTTTTTCCGTTCAGGCTTCATAGATTCACTAGCTGGGGGCGTAGCCCTTTATAGATCGAAGAGTGACGAATTTACGCTAGAAGTGGGAGACCAGTTACCAATTCATCAGGGTTTGGTAGATGCAGTTATCTACGAAAACGAGGAGGGAAGCCTGGATGCCACTATTCAGTTACTGGTGTCAGATGCAAGCTCTGCAGAAGTAAGAATTATCTTACGTCAGCATGTAATACGGTGTATTCTTCAGTACTTTTCCTTATCATGAGGCTGATGAAATGTATGGCAAAATGTCTCAGGTGTTATTTGAAAAGGGTGCCGTAATTAAAAGAAAAAACAGGAAAAAAGCAGAGAAAGAAGAAATACTAGACTTGAGACCGTTGTATCTCAATACATTTTTAGCACACCTGTTATGGGCCTGAACTATGGTATTTTGAAAATCACAATGGGGTTGCCATCGGCAAGGAAGATACACAGACCAGTCAGTTTGGTCTAAGGTTACGTGGGTCTCATGAACAGTTCCAGAGAGAAATTTTACTACCTACAGTCTTAGCCGACACTGTGCCAACTTGGTTCATGCTTAATTGTCTTGGTTCAGCTGATTTCAAGTGATCAGCATTTCAGCCGCTGCTTCTCCGGTGAATTGCGCTCCACCGAAGCCTTCAGCGGTGGTCGTCCCCCGACTGTGGCAGCCATGAATGACTGCCCTGTGTTTGCCGACCAGGACGTCGTCATCAACGAGTTCAACTTCGCAGAGCCGTCGGGGACTCTCCAGGCGTACGTGGAGCTGTATGACGGAGGGGTTGGCAACACGCCTCTCACGTACATCACTTTGGTAGCCTTTGCTGCCAGTGATAACAACGGAGCATACCGAACCGCTGACCTAAGCGGCTACCGTACCAATGAGCAAGGCTACTTCTTGATTGGCCATCAAGGCTCAGGTATACAGACTAAATCGGGGTACAATACACAGTCTTTTTGCCACAGTAACATGTCATGTAATTTGTGACTAGGAAAAAAAATCAGATTTCGTCCAA